GTTACGGCATGTAGTGTTTAACTTTCTGTTCCTGGCTTGTTTCACTCAACATCATGTCCTCCAGTTCCATTGCCACAAATGATAGGATTTCATTTTTTTAATGACTGAATAGTATTCCATAGTGTATATATACTACATTTTCTTTATCCATTCACCTGTTGTTGGATACCTATGATTTCCATATCTTGGCTATTGTGAACAGTGCTGCAGTAAACATGAGGGTGCACATGGCTCTCCAATAAAATTATTCCCTTTCCTTTGGATAAATTCCACGTAGTGGCATTGCTGGATCATATGGAAGTTGTGTTGTAGTTTTTCTGAGGGACCTCTCCATGCTTTTCTCCATGTGATTGTACTACTAATAATTTATATTCCCACTAACAGTGTAATAAGAGTTCCCTTTTCTCCATATCCTGCCCAGCATTTGTTTTTGTCTTTTTGATAGTAGCCATCCTAACTGGGGTGAGATGATACCTCATTGTGATTTTGATTTGCATTTTCTGATGACTAATGATGTTGAGCATTTTTTCATATATTTATTGGCCATTTGTATGTCATATTTTGAGAAATATGTCTTCGGGTCATTTGTCCATTTATTTTTTTTTGCTGTTGAGATATTTCAGTTCCTTGTGTATCTTATATATTAATCCAGTAGTTTATTGGATGAGTAGTCCGCAAATATTTTCTCCCATTCTTTAGGTTGTCTTTTCACTTTGTTGATTGTTTACTTTGCTGTAGCAAAGCTATTTAAAGATTATCTTTCCTAATCTAGTCCTTGCCTTTGATCTACTTTCTTTCAATATAAAGAAAGCATCCATCCTATTTGGGGCCATCTCTCCACATAACATTATATTTTTACCCAGAGAGTGTTAAATGAAAGACATAAATAAATATAAAGTGTTCTTTTCTGTTTGGCATATATACTTCGGTATAAATTTGAGTGCTCACAAAGTTATTTGTATAATTATTTTATATACACCTTTAATTCTCTAATTGGGAATATGATGAGAAAATAAGCAACAGTCACTACACTATTGATTTGTACTAAGCTCATTTCTCCTTTATATATTCCTATCCGAAATTTGTGGTAGAGGTTTGTTTCTGATTGTTTACATTATAGAACCGTATTGGTAAAAAGTTTCCTGAATTTAATTTTTGAAATTTTTTTTTAGTGAAATTAATACTTAATGATTAAGACTTGGGTATAAAACATAAAGTCACTATTCCACTTTGAGAATTTAATCTGTGGACACACTAGCGTAAGTTTTGGAAGGATGTATTTATATCTTTAGGAAGCAGCATATTGTATGGGTTAAAATGAAAGCAGAAGCTCTAAAATCAGACTACCTGGGTTCAAGTCCTGGCTCAAAACTTAACTGTCTACCTTGTTACTAAACCTCTTTGAGCGTCACTGTTCATCTGTGACACTGTATAATGTGTATAATCCACATCTGTATAATGTGGATGAGAATAGGACCCAGTGAATGGAGCCACTGTGTGAGTTTAAATGTAACAGTGTCATCGTGATGTGATGGTGGTAATGGAACTAATGATGGAGGAGCTGCTGCCATAACTGCCCCATGGGTTGTGTGTTGCACTGCTATTTATAACGGAAAAAAACTTAGAAACAGCTTTGATATCCAATGCTGGAGAAGGGGATAAATGAATTTTAGGATATCGATACGGTAGGATCTATGAAGCCATTAAAAAAGAATGTGTTGTGTCAAGAAAAGATGCTCATAGTATATTAAGTGAATAAAGCAGGAATGGTACAGGTAGAGCACACACCAGTGTGTATGCATGTGTTACAGATTGTGCACAGGAAAAAATTCCAGAAGCATGGCACAAAAATGGAAATTGTTCCGTTTTCCAGCTAGGGAGTGGATTTCAGGGAACTTTTGCTTTCCTTTATGCATTTCTGCAATGTTTAAAGGGTTTATTTTATTTTTTTTATTTAAACAAACTGTAAAAATTAACTCAAACAAAAGTTTAAGGGTGAAAGACACTAGACTAATAACATCTGTCATTTTCATTCTGTTTAGAAACATGTTAATTGAAAATAATATATATACTACATGATTTTAATCTTATTTATAGAAAGTTCAGAGTATTACTTAAAAGGCTGGACATTCATTCTGCCATTAAACATTTATTAAGCAACTACTCAGGAATTAGCCTACAGATTTGTAAAGATGAGTGACCTAGTCGTTACCAGAACAAACATGTAAACAAGTAATTACAGTCCTATGTTAAATGTTAATAGAGAATAGAAGAAGAAACTAATTTTTGTCTGAGGTAATCTGGAAAGATTGAATTGAAGAGGTGACATCTGAGCTGTCTCTTACAGGATGAATGAGAGTTTTTTGGGGGTGCAAGATGTCTGACAATGGGAACAGCATGTACAAGAAGATGGTATGATTTTGTGAAAAGCTGGTGGGAAAATTGGGATTCTGAAGACTTAAGTGAGTCCATCTGGTAAAGGATTTGGGCATTTTCCTCTTGATGGTAGAAAGCAATAGAAATGTTTTTTAGTAGGGCAAATCAGTGACATAGAAGTTGATTAGAAAGTATTTTAAGAAGAAAACCATGGTGGCTGTTTGATAGAGGACACTGGAGTGAGGAGAGATGAGAAATTAGTCACTGAGGAAGGAAGCTCTATAGTACTTAAGAAAAAGAGCCCGTAAGTATTGATAGCTGAGTTCTTAGAGGTGGACTGGGGCAAACCAATCAGAATGTAAATGGAATCTACAGTATGGAATGAGTGCAACAGGTGGGAAAGATTGGTTTGTATCCAAGCTAGCTCTTGTGTTTCTAACTCAACTGAAGTGGAAAGTGATGCCATTAACAAAAGATAGGAGCCAGCATGGTGGCTTTCACCTGTAATCCCAGCTATTAATACTTGGGAGGCTAAGGTGGGAAGATCGGTTGAAACCAGGATTTCAAGGCTGCAGTGAGCTACAATCACACACTGTCCTCCAGCCTGGGTGACAGAGGAAGATCCCCATCTTTAAAACAAAATCCATACAGTCAAGCAGATTTGAAGGCTATAATGAGGTCTCTTAGGGTAGTCAAGTTGAGGCTCCCAAAAGCACTCAGTGACTACTGTTGACTTGCTCATCACCATCATGTAGTCATGTGATATTTTACGAACTTAAATTTTAAACATAGTTACTTGATTTTCAAAAGCATTTTATAATTAAGCCATCTTTAGTAGCAAACCATTACTTTTCAGTTTTAGAGTTTCGTCTTCCTAGAGGAAAAATAGAGCCCAAAGTGACAGTGAAGGAGAGTGAGAAACGCTTTATATGTGTGTGTGTTTATGTGTTATGTTAACAGTTTTGCTGTTAAACAGTTTCGCTTCCCATTCACCTTTTAGTAAACTTAGGGTGCCTATAGCAAATTCTAACTCTAAACTTGGTTAGCATTGTGTAGCACTCCACATCCAGGACAGGGGGTGGGAGGCTTCCCCCTATGGATCCTAGACATACGGACCACTCCAATTCCACACATCTGCATTTCCTAACAGGATTTTGCCCCATTAAAACAGACTTTTGACAATACAGTAGCAAATTGATCTGTTCCTAATACCAATGAAACTGGCCTAAAATTAGGGCTTTTTGGGTCCCATAGGCCTTTTGTGAGTGGTCAGTTTAACCAAAGTTACTTATTCAGCATTGCCCATGAGGCTGGCTTGGACTGCCAATATAGAAAGAAGGAACTTGTTCCATTTTTGCACAGGATAGTCTTGAATTTGGGAGATGAATGAAAAGAAGTATAGCCATGAATAGTGATCATCAGTCAGGAATCAGCTGCCTGGGTTTGAGTATCATCCCTGATACCAACCAGCTTTGTGATCTTGTACCAGACTCTTAACCATTTTGTGCCTTGATTTCCTCATTGGAATAAATAGTACTACTGCTTATGTCATTTGTTGTAAGAATTAAATGAGTTAATGTCCATAATATACATAGAACAGTGGCACATGGTAAGTACTCAATTCATGTTAGTCCACAGAAGGAAAGATTTTGGTAGTATACTTAGACTCTGTTTCAGTTTATACCTCTTGCCTTGCCTCTCCTGACTCCTGGTGGTAATGGGAAGTTGGGGGGTTGGGAGAGACAAGGAGATAAAGAAAAAATATGTTTAAATACTTTAGTAATTTATTCTGGGCCTCTCTTTTCATTGCTGTTACCTCCTAAAAACAATCATCTTGCTTCCCTACTCCCATAGAAGTAGAAAAATCTTTTTAGTTAACTGAACTTCAGTCCCATCTCAGATGATGTTTCCTCACTCTACAACTTTGAAATGGTATCTTTCCCCATTTTCTTCCCGAGTAATTTGCCTTCCAAAAGCTTTAGCACTGCTGCTCCTTTCCAAGCTTCCAGAAAACTTAAACCTCTAACCACAATCCCCACCTCCTAGCAATCTCTGGTCTACTTAAAAATAAGCCTTATTTAGGCTATAGTTTTTGATATTACAGTTTTCCCGACGTGAGCCAGTCACATGAAGAGTGAAATAAATGGAGCTTGGCAGTTTTAGCTAAAGTGTGCTTTATATAATATTAAATAGTATGTTTATGGTGATACTTTAGATATTCTGAGAACACTTGCATGTATTCCTTATTAAAGAACTTCGAGTTCCTAGGAAGGTACTGTCACAAAACTAGATTGGTGGGTGGTCCCTGAGCTGCAAGCACTTTTATGTCTTGTATTAACAGTAATAATAATTATTTTGGTCATGACTTCCAAAAGGATTTTTTGAAAATCTTTTTTTTTTTTAATTTGTGTCTTTAGAGATGTTGATTTTATTATTTGGTGGTTTCTTTTTAGTGGAGAAGAATCAGGTATATAGGTTTACCTTTCTTCTCTGAACACAGGCTTACATCTGTTTTAATGAGTTGCTTTATGTCAAGATGTGTTTTCTTTTTAAATTAGCACCCCTCCCACTTTTTTTAGGTACACCAAATAAAAACCAACCATGATTTTTTTTCTGTATTATAGGTCCTCTTCCTGATGGATGGGAACAAGCCATGACTCAGGATGGAGAAATTTACTATATAAACCATAAGAACAAGACCACCTCTTGGCTAGACCCAAGGCTTGACCCTCGTTTTGGTAAAGGTTCATCTCAAAACCTTTTTAGATATTTTTAATTACTATTTTTTGTATGTAAATTTGGGAAAGCACATTTAAATAAAATTGCATTGGTTTATAGTATTAGACAATGACTGCCCACCCAACTTTTACTAGTATTATTTTTATACTTCTCATTTAAAACTTGAGAGATTTATATTTAAATCAAGTTTTTAGCCTGGGCTCCTTGGGTTAGGGTGGGGGAATATTGTAGTGGCTGACTAGCCGGAATCACTCTTCCTTTCACATTTTGGGGGAGACAGTGATCTTATTTAAAGTGATCTTTTTAGCTGCAGTAATAATCAGGCTGTCATGCAACATCTAAAACCTGGAATATCGGCTTTTGTCAGTGACCTGGTGTCTGCTTATGCTTAACTTCTGTGAGTGATGCGTACCATCTGTACCTGGGTATTGTCGTGTTTCCCATCCTGGGTGGGGAGTGGGTGGGTATCGCCCCAGAAACGGTCCAGTGAAAGCAATTTCCCTTCCCTCCCCCTCTTTCTTTCTACTCTGTCTCCGTCTCTGCGTCTTTCCTTCTCTCTTTAAAATAAAAGTCCTTTTCTTGTTTTTTCATTTAGGAAACAAAAAGCAAACCATATTCCCCTCCAGATTTACAAGAATAAATCACCATTTGCACAAATGAACTCTCCCCTCCCAAATGTATACATTTTGATAAGGATATTCTGGTTCTTCAGTACCTTTTTATCTATCTACATGTATTTATATATATGTAGAATTTTTTTCTTTTGCTGTTTTCAGTTTATTCATTTGAGTTTCAGAGATATTTTTCCAAAGCCATGGAAAAAGAATCTAGAAAGGAGCAGATAATTGTGGTTTTGAAACTTTCTTCTTGGACTAGATGCAGCTAAATGAAAACAATGTGCAGATCACTGAGTAGGTCAGACTGAGGGGACTCAGAACCTTTGAAGCTTTACAGGGGTTGACCTAACAACAACTGTGGGGCCCTTACGGGGAAAAAGGAATTAACTCTATGAATGCCATCAAAACACAACCCTGGGGGGAAAAAGAAAAAGAAAAACTCTATCTTGGAGCTGGTTGGGTAAAATAACTTCCCTGTCAGGAACATTACGAACAGTTCTCCTGTGTCTTATGTATACCTTAAAAAAAACAATATTTGGGTTTGCCCTGAACTGACTGACTGGTTAGCTTTATGGACTGACTGAACCTCCTATTCAAATAAAATCAAAGGTGGGGTCAGGGCGCAGAGACTGTCATTTTGACAGATACCCGGTTTGGTTTAAATGCTGGCCTTTTGAGCTTCAAGACCTGTTTGGGTGTTAAAAAAGTAATGTGGCATGTTAATAATTTGCAACTTCAGATTCTCTTTAGTATTTGAATAAGCCCTTGTGGTTGAAGGAGGAAACCAAGTAAGGCAGAGAATTTAATAAATGTTGCCATTTGTATGGACTGAAACAATAACAGCCATGTTTCCTTAAATCATCTTTAATGACATGAATTCAATTTGTCCACATTTTGGGAATTTTAAAGAATGGTGCAGTAGTTTTTTTCCCCCTAACATAAGGTTATGGAAGATGATGATTACCTCTTTACTAACTGCAAAGATCAGAAATTAGAACAAAGCTTTTTTTTTTTTTTTTTTTAAAGTAGTTTCTGTTAAAATGGTGAAATAAAACAACTTCGTTATGAGCTTAAATAGATCTGTTGATTACACATACAGCTTGGTCTTTTGTTTTGGGTGGGGAATACTCTCTCCCTACCTCCAACACATATGTACACACAGGCTTACAATTAGTTATGCTCAAAAGTTTCATAAAATTCTCTTAACTGCATTTAGTTTCCCTTTTTGGGCCCACTGTGTATGTGTATTCCAGACAGGCTTGACAGTATGCCAAAGCTTTTTATTTTGTGGCCCGACTTTTAATCTGTTCCAGACCTTTTCAGTCAGAGAGCTCAAATGTAACTGAAGGGGGTGCAGCAAAGAAAAAATGTGTGGGTTTCTCTGATCTAGAGTGACAGCAAATAGAGACAAGCTGTTAGCTGCTGGATTTGAAGTTTTCCTTGAAATCTGAAGTTCTATATAGTGGATTATGTTTTATTTCTGCCAAAGAAATATAAACTATCCCCTTATTTCTGACCCTTTGGGCCGTACAAACATAAACAAATGGTTTCATGGTTGTAGAGTTTTCTTTCCTATATTCTTGAAATCTATATTAAAGTTATCAATTCTCAGCTTAAATCAAATAGACGTGAGTCTGTTGGCATCTTAGAATGAGATGTACACCCTTGTATAAGCTTAATTTTATTACACCTCCTTCAGCCATCAACACCTTTTATATTACTATTTTTTTCAGATGCCTTAAGATTATGTTTAGAATGCAGTCATATGCTTTAAGATTAATTATATTTAGAATACAGTCATATGCCACATAATGATGGTTCAGTCAATGATGGACCACATATACAGGTGGTCCCGTAGGTTATAATATCATTTTTTTACTGTACCTCTTCTGTATTTAGATATGTTTAGAAACACATATATTTAACTGTTGTGATACAATTGCCTACAGTATTCAGGTTGTACAGGTTTATAGCCTGGGAGCAACAGGCTATGCCATACAGCCTAGGTGTGTAGTAGGCTATGCCATCTAGGTTTGTGTACGTACACTCTGTGGTGTTTGCATGACAGTGAAATCGCCTAATGACATGTTTCTTAGAACATCTTGGTTGTTAAGCAACGCATGACTGTATTTAGAATAATTTGTCAGTCCTTCACATCCCACTTGATGTTAATAAATTATCTATATAATTTTAGGAAATAGTTGTGGATTGGTTCTTTTTTATCTGATTTTTTTGTTCTTTAACATTTAAAAACTATATCTTTGGTATTTAGATTGCTTTAGAGAATTAGTAATTTGTAACAAATTATGAAGTGATATCAAATGGCAATAAGGATGCACTGATATTTATTGAGCTTTGGAGAAAAAAGGGCTTTTTTTCCTTCATTTTTTAAGGAATTGTATTAGGAATGTTTTTACTCTGTATTAAAGAAAATGAGTCCTTGAGTTTTATGAAAGCCATTAAGTCATTTTCATATAAACACATAAGAGAATTTTTTCCTAGGGATGTTGTACTGATAAACATGAATAGTCCAAGTTTATTACCTTGTATATTATAGAATTATTGTTTTATATAATACAGTCATAAGGATATTTTCCAGTAAAAGCCCTGATGAAACCACATACATTAAAAACAAGTTTTTGTTTGTTGATTTTTTTTTTCCTTGCCAACTCTTTTAAATCTTTCCTGATGCTCCTGGACCGTCAATATTTGGTTTTGGAATTATTTAAGATAGAGAAGAAAAGATGTATCTTATAGGTGAAAAGAACTATTGCTAACTAAAAATTATTAACCGATAAACCTTACAAAATCTGGCCCTGAAAAGGAATTTATGAGTCCTCTAATCAGCATTTTTCAGTGGGGGAATGCTACTATTCTGGGCACTGCAGGGCATTCTACATCCTTGGCCTACTAAATGCCATACAGCCGCTTGGTCATTGTGACTCCCCAAACTACCAACACATAGTAAAAAAAAAATTTAAAAAATCCTGGGAGAGGTTGGGAATATTTCCCAAAATCTGAGCTCCTTTGAGATCTAGGGAAATCATAAACTATCCAAGGTTATATAGTTAAGTGACAAAACTGAAATCTGAACTTGACTTTGATGCCTATAATTAATAAGAAATTTATATTGAATGCAGTTAATCTTTTATAAATATACCTAATATGCCAATACTGATACATGGAAATTTCAGAGGGAGGAAGACGACAATAGTTAATGCTCTTGTAATCCTATATTGTGACTCATCTTGAGGAAATTACCCAAAGGTAATGAGTTTCTAATTACAGAGGAGAATTATAAGATCTCTTATTGGGAACAGACTTTGAAGCTATTTAGTTGAATTATCTATGCAATTCATGCCTCACCTTTAGCATATTCTTAAGAGATTGTCTTTCATTCTCAGCTTTGACCTTTCCCTTGACTGACTTACTGCATTATAAGATAGTCCATTCTACTTAAGGAAAGTTCTAAGGACCAGAAAATTTGCTTCCTTTTATTATCCAAAAGCTTATGTCCCTTCACTTGTGAATACAGCTCTAATCCCAGCAGTGTTCTTTTCTAACTGTGGTTTCTCCAGTTTTTCATGTCTTAAGAGTTTTCTGCTCTTTACCAATTCACTTACCTCCTCTACATGTCTTTCATTTTACCCAGTACCTCTTTAAATGTGATATTCTATGGTGTTTTATGCATACATTATCCAGTGTGAAAAATAGTTACTACATTGTACTGACCTGGCATTTTCTATGCCTGCCAAAAATCCATTTTTCAAATCTATGCTAGAGGCTAGCATCCTTTTTCCATATGGTAATTACACAATGTACATGATTCAACTGAATTAAATTATGATTTAGAAAAAATTACCTACTGAATTGGGAATCAAGAGACCCAAGTTCTTCTGGTATCACAATGTAACCAACTGGTTCAGAAAGATACCAAACTTTTTTTGACTTAATTTGACTCATCTGTAAAATGTGACTGACTGGGTTAGACTGAATGCTGTTAACAATATTTTCAGTCTTTAATTAACTGAATACAATATGCTAGATTTTGAATTCTTCAATAACTGCTCTGGACCGTTGCTTAAGGTTACTTCTCAATAGCCTTTTTGATTTGAGTGTGTTGAGGTTTCAGAGATAGTTTTGAACTATTTATTGTACCATTTAAGTTTAACTTTTGGTCCTCTGGTCACAGTTGGGAATTACTTTTGCAGAGGAGACAGGGAAATCTTTCAACCTTTAATCTAAAGATAAGCCTTATCACATGGTGAGTATGCCCAGGCAGACAAATCTGATGGGGGGTGGGAAGTGCTGGGTAGGATATTTAAGCTTTGTCCACACTCTCAAACTCTTGGAAGCATATAGGAGGTTAAACATGCTCATAT